TTTGGGTCAGGTGCCCTGGCGGTGTCCTGTGCCAACTTCTTGTGCCCCTCCAGCTTTCTCGCTGGCTGGGCATGAGAAGCTGAACAATCCTTGACTTTAGACTAAACACTACTGAGCAACAACTGAAAACATCAGTGTTATCAACATTCTTCGCATACTGAACTCAAAATACAGCACTGTACCAGCTACTAGGAAGACAATTAACTCTGTCCCAGCTGAAACCAGGACAACCTGCTGTATCACATAGTGAATTATGTCAGCATGTACTGATTATAAGTGACACTGCTCTGGATGTATCAGATCAAAAGCTTTGTTGTTATGCTCAAAGGACACCAGGGGGTGGTGGAAGACTCCTTAGTAGCATAGTTGTATTTCTTACATTGTGACAATCACGTTGTCTTTGTCTTCAGGCTACCTTCTCTCCTTCAAAATCTGCACTGCTAATAGCTTTGAGACAAAAATAGCAATACTGGGTCTTCTGAAAGCCTACGTAACATAATACCCTGTTTCTGAGAGTACACTAAAGCGGACACCAGCAAGAAGGGTAAGAGCAAGCCAAGCATACACAAGCACTTTTTTTCCAAGCAGCCTCCCCAGTGCTAGCCAGCAGGTAACAGGGGTGTACTCCATGTCACCCAGCTCATTCCACCCCACTCCATTTCCCAACCTGGCCCTAGGACCCTTTAATAAGCTTTACCAGGCTACCATTTTATGAAAACAGTCTGATACAAATCTCCTCACTCTACCAGCTTAAAACTAGGCGCTGTTATTAACATTTACATTTGACCCGCTCTGATAAAGTTGTTAGGAACATTCACTTAGAAGGCTATGTATTCACAAACTACAAAAAAGTATTTAGCACTTTAAGGAAAAACAGTGTCACCATTCGTTAGGCTTCACAATACAAGCAATTTCTTTTCACCATTTTTTGCTAGCTTTTATGTTAAACCCATCATTTCCACACTTCATCCTGTTCAGACAGTCATACAGTTTAGAAACAAAGGCTATTCCCACTTCTATCACTGACATTCCTATATAACATACCAAAACACATAAAAAGACTGCAAAGCCTCTGGGCAGTAGTGATTGAAGAGTTTAAGTGTAAAGGCATAAGGGCATCATAATTCATGGATTCAGAGGGCAAGCTACATGAGTTTTCTTAATTGAGAATGACTCATAATTCACTAGCAGCCATAGGAAATTCTACTATCCACACAGCTTTGAGAGCAAGAAATCAAGTCAGCTGTACATGAACTGATTTCTTCAGCCTTCAAAGCAAACAAACAAATTCCATCTATGAGATAATTTTATTATTTCTGGCAGTGAATGTTTGATACATATATGAATGAAATACTTGGGCAAATGGTAAATATCAGCAGTTGACATTTTTTCCTTCTGTAATAAAAATAATTAAACTTTCTGCTTAGATACTAGTTTCAATTTTCTTCTGAGAGAAGCGTTATGAACTTTTTTTTTAATGAATACCCAATGTTTTTACTGTGATACACCACACATCTTTGCAGGTGCAGAGTACCTTTTCATGGTCCATTACAACCACCTGACACAGCAGCGTCATTAGTATTTGTGCTGAAGTTCAGTTTCATTTGGCACCTTCAGAACAATACACAGATTCCCTGGAATAGTAACTGGGAGAGGAGGCAAAAAACCACTGCTGCTTGCAACTCTGTTTGCAAGGGCTAGCAGGCCAAGAGATGCTGCTCTCAGGAGAGCGCCTAGTAAAAACCACAGATTTCTATATTAACTCCGTAGGTCGTAAGTTCACTTTAAACTCTGAAAGAGAATTTAAACCAAGGCATTTGCTAGTAGCTCAATTTTTAACAGTTCATCTGTTTTGTGCACTCTATTTCTGCTGCATTTCTTTGAATACTATATAGCTACAGTTGCCAACGATTATAAACTATAAAGCCTTCTTGTTACAACTAGCTTCAAGCCGAAAACAAAATTAAAATTTCATCCAATAAAGCTCTGATAAGACCAGGCCTGCTGTTTTTATGACTAAAATAAAAAAGCTTTATTCATATTACAAAGCAGTCAGAGACCAAACAGGGTAAGGACCATTGTGCTAGGCTCTGCACTAAAAAGCAGAGAAGTCTAAATAATTTTAAGTAATGTTTCTAGAAGTCTGGGGCACAGCATTCCATAGACTGAAGGAACTAAAGAGAGTGCAGAGGAGAACAAGGGAAGGGAGAAGTCAAGTGGATCCACTGTTACACACAGGCTAAACAGCAAGCAGAATCCACCTGGGAGAGTTTTTAGGGAAAATACTTCAGTGAACACTGATTTAAAGCAACCATAAGATTCAAAATTGATACTTTTTTTGTGAAATATTGTGCTGAAACTCTTTAAAAGCAAAGGGGATCCAAAAATTCAAGCTACATTATAAACAATTACCATTTCTCACAGTATTTTTAATGTGTTGAAGACTTTCTCTACTGCATGACTCTACATATTAAAGTGTTACAGCTACAGCTTTCCTCATAGGGTGATTAATCAAGCATTTCTTTTCCTTCTCTAGATGAATACCTAGCTGAAATGTGGGTTTTAGACCAAGACTGAAAAATGAACCATTTAATAGATATCTGGAAAAAATAATTGCTAACTTAGTGAAGCTAAGTAGGCAGAGTCTAATTGTAATAATTAAGAGGATGAAAATGCTGAAAGGGATGCTTGCCCCTACCCTCTGCAGTGTGAAAAAAGTAACCATCAAATTGAAGTTCATTTAGAAAGCGCTGAAGATGAATCATGGAGGTGAGAGAAAAAGACAAGGACATGAAAGCAAGAATGTATGTGACCATGAACACACACATGCATGTTCTTATACACAGACTGCCATATATCAGTAATAAACTGAAAAGTAATAATGACTAACCTCCACATTTTAGTGAAACTGTGCATCAGGCTCACACAGCAAGGCAGAGCTGGAGGTTTGAGTCCATCCATTTGAAGGAGGAGAGCAGGAACACCATATAGAACCAGGTATTTTACATAAAAAAATAGTACTTGTGCTAAAGCCAGGCCACCTAGAAAAATAAAAAGAAAAAAATCATACCTTAAACAAGTCCTGAAACACTTTTGAAACCTGTTAATACTGATTACTTTCAAACAGCCATTATTCAAAGAACTCAAGCAAGTACCATCAGTTGATGGGAAATACAATACCTACTTTTGTAACAGCTATAGGACACAAGCAATTATGACTTTAGGCACACACACAAAATAGTACCATCATTCCAATATGAAGGCATAAGTAAGCATCTGTAGTTCTGCTTTCAAAAATCTTTGGACTGTGGGTATTGACTGCTATGAAAAACAAATACTGACTTTATTTATACTAATATTCTAATATTTTCTGCTGAACAAAATAGTGTTTGACCAATAATCATAGGAAAAAGTTCGGTAAAAAGCAGAGGCCAACACCTATATAGAAACTGGTAAGAGTTCACTCCTAAAAGTTCCACTGACTTTGGTGAACTTTTCCATCTCACTGACAGTTGACGTAAGTAAAATCTAATCCCAAAGGAAGGAAAGTAAAGTTATTATAATTTAGAAGAGTAAAAAAATTATAAAATGCAATTGTTACATCTCCTTCCTTTCCTGTGTTTTGCTTTCCCTCACTGATATTAACTAACTTGTGATTTGACTGGAATACTTTAGATATTTAATATAATATCTATATTATAATAATAAGATAAAACCTTCCAGCAGACTTTCCTTGGAGACAAAGCAATCTGACTCCAGCAGTACAAGTTCACGAACATCTAAATAATCTGCCTTTTTTTTTTTTTGGCAAAACAACCCTTTTGCATTCTGCTGACTAACAAGTCTACTATGGATGACAACTAGAAGTTGAACATTAAAAATTCATCTCATATGTAACAACCCAGGGTGAAATTCTGGCACTAATAGTGTAAATTGCAAAACTCCTGCTGGCCTACACATGGCCAGCCTTTTACTGCTACAATCCAACATTTTTAGTTTTAATATCGTGATCCACATGCATGATGTAAGAAACAGTTGTGCCACACAAGATAAAAATTTATGTTAGAACAAAATACCTAGAAATGAAGCTTACAGTATCTTCCTTCAGGGAGCAGTCATCTAGTATTCAATAACATTCTTCCCCAGAGGAAAACAAACAATCAGAGGCACAATTTGGATACTAGCCAATTAGCTACACATTAGATTACTGCTAAATCATCTATACAGCCAACTTTCTTCTTTAATTCCCATCTCATTCAGTTTCTCATTTCTTTTCTGACAAATTTCATTGGAGAGCTGAATGCTGACACCCACACAAACCAATTATGAAGATCACAGCTGTCTGTGCACTGGTAAAATCCAAAATCCTTTGGCTATGCATAATGGAAAGAGATTTAGAGACGCAGACTACCACTCTCCTGAGACCCCAAAAAACAATACCTTTGATTTTAAATACAACGATGAAAGATTCTGAGTTCTCAGAGTTATAATAAGCAAGTTTCAGAAAAAGTAAAAGCATTTTCACCATCTCTAATAACATACATCTAAGCTATCATTACGGTTAACTAGAAGACAGCTCAATAGCACTGGTATCTTAAATAAAAGTAGACATCACATCACCAATCATTACCTAGCACACACTAACTACTCTGCATGGGAATTTCTAAGACTCACAATAACAGCAATATGAAGGTTCTCATTGGTCTTCAACTCAGCCCAGCTGTGTGAGAGTTCTGGCCACACATGGAAAACTAAGGGCAAGACTCACAGCCACACAACAGCTGGGCTGTATTAGCAACAGACACAGGCTTTAAACTTTCTTACATAGCTGAGACATTCCAGCTGCTTTGCATTTGCCCCATTGTAACACAAAGCAGCCAGAAGTACACTACTTCACCTGATTTAAAAAAATGAAATTTAAAAAGAAATTTAAGACAAATGCTGAACTTCTCAAATTCATTAACAATATCACATAATTTGTTCTCTAGTGTTTGATTTAAAGCTTAAAAAGAACTTGCACACAAGCATTATCTTAAATTGGAAACAAGTTATATCAAGTGTGTATTTAAAAACATACCTAAGGGAAAAAGTATTGCAAAAATGCTATCTTTTCCCCAGAATAATTAATTCAAAGGATGCAGAGTCAAAGTTAATTTTTTCTAAAACTGAAGTATGTTAAGGGATAAGAAAAACATCAATTTAAAGTACCCATACAATCTTAAACCCATGTGCTTCAACAGTCAAGCTGTTTGAAGTCCCAGATTAAATTAACTGACTTTTATAGAAATTGATATTTTCAATTTATCATCTTGCAATCCTTAAAACATTCTAACTTCTCCTATGCTTTAAAAATGCATTTATAGACCTTCAAATATTTACCTTCCTTAAATTTACTACAAAACCGCATTTTGTAAGTTTCAATAGCTTTGTTTCAAGAATAATTAGAACATTCACAGACTTTTAAATGTTTGGGGTTTTTTCATATTTGCAAAACTGCCCGATATTTTTTGACAAGTTAAACAGAACATTTTCATAAGTAAGCAACAAAAGATTTGGATCCAAGTATTAGAAACCACACTTGGCATTTTTCTGTCCATAAACCATCACCAAAACTCATGGTCAAGAATTATAACTTAGCAGGCAATTTTATCATGAGCACAACAGCACAAATTTACCCTTTTTGCAGCTACATTGACCCTATGGCATTAATGATCATAGATGCTTGTTTCTGTCAAGTACCAGGGCAGGTTCAGCTAGAAAACACATAGCAGACATAAATATGCAGCCATATTTCAAAAGGGTTACTGACACATGGCACAAGTCTAATAGGAAACAGACATTTAAAACCACTCAGAATTTAGGGCCATATAATCTAGTTCAAAATATCAGGCTTTAGGGGTTCATTTACCCTTTCTCTTATTTTTACATGCCTCCTCTCCTACAGGAAAAAAATTTAAAATCTCCGTGAAAGAACATGGGTCTGCACTGGAGCAGATAGGCTACAGATGTATCTTGGCAACAATGCCAACAACAGTAAGGTGCATCAGGAGTTTCCAGCTCCATTAATCAACCAACAAGAGCACAACTGCCGAGCTTTACACACTGGGCTACAGCATTTTCTTCACAGCAGGACACTCCTCCCTGACAAGAGCGCCAAGACTGGATCTACTATGACCTTCTTAGTTTGGTATTGACCCCAGCAGGAGGCTACACCTCATACTGGGGGAAGCTTTCATATGAACATATGACTACCACAGCACCAAGTCAACTCAGCACAAGCTGCCAGGTAAGCAGAGCTCTGCAGCCATTGCCAGCAATCCCACGTACATCATGCTGTGCTGCCCTGTCCCCCAGTCAGGGCTAACTGTCCACTCATACCTGCTACACTAACGCAAAAGTGACAACTCAATTCTGTTATTGCTGTCTCTAGCCATTGAAAAAGAGCATCATGCAAGAAACATGAAGCACGGTCATTTCACTACTTAAACAGAAGACAATGCAATTAATAATTAGGCTTATATTGCTTAGCAGTGTTTTTCACTGCTGCTTGGCAGTGCTTTCAAAGAGGTGCTGGCTCACAAAATTAAAAGGAATTATGAAAGAAAAAAGTACTACAGGGACTCATGCAGCCTGGCTTCATATCCCAGCCATCCAGCAGCACACAAGCAGCAAGAAAAATCCTAAAACATATGGAGCAGTGGCAGAGAAGTACATAACACAGTGTTTGCCCTGGAGGCTAAGTGCTTCTTTTTAGACAAAGTTGAATGAACATAAAAATCCCAAAGTGAACCTAAACAAGGCTAAACAGAGCTGCCAAGGGACTCTTGGTCAAGGCATAGACAGGTCCTTCCAGGTTAAAGAAAACCAGAAGTTTTCAAGGATACACATGCCTTAAAGCCCCCTACATTGAATATTCCTCAAACACCTACAGTAAGCATTATGTTCATTAGTAAACACTTGCAGGAAAGAACTCTCTAAATAAATCGACAGTTATGACATTGCACTCGTTTTGGCTGGGATAGAGTTAATTTTCTTCACAGCAGCTGGTATGGGGCTATGTTTTAGATTTGTGCTAAAACAGCGTTGATAACAAAGGGATGTTTTCATTATTGCTGAGCATTGCTTACACAGAGTCAAGGCCTTTACTGCTTCTCATACCACCACACCAGTGAGGAGGCTGTGGGTGCACAAGGAGGTGGGAGGGGACACAGCTGGGACAGCTGACCCCAACTGACCCAAGGGGTATTCCAGACCATAGGACGTCATGTTCAGTATATAAAGCTGGGGGAAGAAGGAAGGGGGACACACATTCAGAGTGATGGTGTTTGTCTTCCCAAGTAACCATTATACATGATGGAGGCCTGCTTTCCAGGAGATGGCTGAACACCTGCCTGCCAATGAGAAGTAGTGAATTAATTTCTTATTTTGCTTTGCTTGCTTTTGCTTTACCTGTTAAATTGTCTTTATCTCAACCCACAAGTTTTCTCACTTTTACCCTCCTGATTCTCTCCCTGATCCCACTGGGGGTGTGAGTGAGCAGCTGTGTGGTGCTCAGTTGCCAGCTGGGGTTAAGCCACAACACACAAGTTAAAAAACAAGTAGTCATAAAAGTAGGTTAATTGCCAATGCTATCTGGAAGTTTAGCCTGGAGGAAAGCTTACAAAAAATTTACCTTCACACACACACACTTCTTTATAGAAAGCGGTGAACTACCCAATGTTTTAGGGACTAAAATCTTACTGAGTTTTCTGATTCACGTTTGTGTTTCCAGTGTTCAAAACAGACATCAAGATGCCAAATATTTTATCAGATTCTCCTTATCATTATCTTGTAGGATGGAAAAAAAAATCTCAGATTATTCTGTTGGTATTTCATTACCATTAAGACAGATGCACAGACACCGTAATTTCAATAGCAAAACACTGCGTGCTTCTTAAAATTAACTCAGAAATCCATTTCCTATCTATGGGTTTATTAGAAAAAGAACTGCAACACATCAAAACCACCACCCTACATCCAACTTACATAGACTACTCTGTAG